CAATGCCCACAAAACAGATATTAGACAGGATCACAAAGAAAAAACAGTTTCTTGCCATTTCAACCAGAAAGGGCACTGTCTCAGCGACTTGATTACCTGCATCCTGCTTCAAAGGCCTTTTAACACCAGACTTGAAAGAGAATCCTCTGAACTGTCATTCATGCTTAAATTCGACACTTTACGCCTAGGTCTAAACAAAGACATTAATTATCTTACCCATTACAAAGATAGCTTCCCCAATGATCCCCTCTAATATCATTAGCTCACAGACATTTCCCCCCCCCCCCCTCCCCCTTCTGTTCTGAAATGTGATTTGTCCTTTTCATATGTGTTCATTATTTTGATTGTATCCTTTGGTATCTATGGTTGTGCCAATTTTCTTCCACTATTTGATCTGAGGAAGTGGGTCTGGCCCACGAAAGCTCATCATCTAATAAACCATCTTGTTAGTCTTTTAAGTGCTACATAGTCCTGTATTTTGTTTCAGTTACACCAGACTAACAGGGCTACATTTCTATCACTTTCCTCCACAGTTTGTTTGAGCTGCTCTGCAGAAGCCCTGGCAGCTCCCTTGCCGCTGCCTGGTGCTTGGCCTGCATCTCAAGGCGAGCTCCAGGCTCTCAGATGCGGGCTCCATCTCAGATACGGGCTCCAGAGCCCATGATCCTCCTGCAGCCTCCTGGCCACTCCTGATTCACCAGGGGAGCCCTTTCAGATCGTGGTGGGGATGGGGAAGCAATTTTGACTGTGGTTCCAGAGGGTACTTAGGCCCTGGAAATCTCTAGGGTTGTTTTGGGTTTTTTTTTTTAGCTGTTGATTTCACACAGCACACACACGCATCCTGTGATGTTTCCATCAGCAATCATTAAATTATTCACAGCGAGGGAAAGCAAGCAAAATGCTGCTTGAGAACTTGCTGGAGTTAAAATTCACTGACACAAACTTCTGAACCGGGCTTGTTACAAATGGATGAGCGACCGACGTTCAATCAACACATCGTGTCCGGCTTCAGGAGAGTTACTGCATATTTCTTGACCTGTCAAACCGCTTAGTGCTGTGGTTCTCAACGGGTGGCCCATGGTGACTTTTTTGGTGGTCCACAGGAACATTGTCACACAGCGTGGGCAGGCACCAAAAATCTGCTAGTAAGAAATACATTTCAAATCAAAATGTTCGTTGTCTGCTCTTTTTTATCACGTCTCAAAAGGGAGGTGGTCCACGAAAATGTTTTGAGTGGCCTGGTGGTCCGTGGACTGAAACGAGTTGAGATCCACTGGCTTAGTGGCTTTGGCTGGTCTGCTGGAGACGTGTTGGTACCGGGCTGAGAGCCGCAAGGTGAGGGGGGGGACTCTCTTTGGTGGGGCCACACCTGGCTGGTGAAAGAGGAAACCTGTGGAACCCCACAGAGCTCTTCTCCAGGTCTGGGGAGCAAAAGAGGGCGGATCGCCTCGGCCAACCCACGTTGGTCCAAAACCAAAAGAGGCATCCCCCCTCCCCCGCCACATGTCTCTGCATGTTCTTATTTCACCTGCCCAGCCCATTTCTCACTCCTGGTGGGAGGGGGCACAGGGGAGAGCTGATCTCACTAACACTCATGGATTTCCTGGGTCTCCACCCACACACCTCACATTGGGATGCAGCAACAATTTCTCCCTCCCATCTCCAAGTGAGCAGCAGGGAGGACAGGACCTTCAGCTGCTAATGGGGGGGGGGGGGGGGGAGGCAAAACCGCCCCCGCCCCAGCCAGTAGCCCAGCCCTCCCCTTTGCCCTCAGTTCCTCCCACAACTAACCTCCCCCTGCAGAGCTGAAGCAGCAGCAGCCCTCCCCGCCTCCCTGCTATTTGGTGCACAGGCGCCTCTTTACCTCTCCTGTCCTGGCCCCAGGCTGCCTCCAGCCAGCAGGGGCAGGAGGGGGAGAGAGCTGGGCCAGGAGACCCTGGCAGCAAACGGGGGGGCAATGCGAGCCAGGGCAGAGCACATGCCCCCATGGGCCACTGCTCTGCAGGGAAGGGAGGGCGGGGAGCAGGCAGGCTGCAGGGCTGGCCTGGTGCAGCTCCCTTGGCATTCTGCAGAGCTCAGTGTGTGCCCAGTGCTCCCGTCCCGTCGGCAGAGCCAGGGGAAAGCCGTTTCCTGGACAAGTGGCTCTGCGGGGAAAAGGGGAAAAAGGGGGGGGGGTCAGACCTGCTCTACACTAACCCCCTCCCAGAGAGCAGGGCTGCTCTGAACCCCAGCCAGCCAGAGCACAGAGCAAAGCTGCCCACTCCCACACACAGGCCTGCTACGCTCACCTCAGCTGCCCACCCCAGCCTCTTCCAGCACAGCCTGCCCCACCCTCTCCCCACAGGGCTTTTACAGGGGGCCCTCTGTCCCAGGGAGAATGGGGAGCAGTCCCAGCGGCTCCCGCCAGAGATGAGTGGGTGACCTGAGATTAGTGCGTGGGGGCTTCTGTCCCTCCCGACCCAGCTGGCTGCTGGGTTCCCCTCCTGCTTAGCTGGCTGGCCCCAGGTACGGTCATGCGAGACTATTCGTTGTGGTAGAAGGGGTCAGAGAAGTCTGGTCTCGTGGGCCCCTGTTTTATCCCCAAGCTATGGGGTCTCTCATGCCAAGGGGCTCAAATGGCTGCGCTTAGGCCAGCTATAATATGGGGGCTACTGCCCGTCTTGGCAAGGTGATTTCAGAGCTAGAGGAAGAAGTGGCTAAGAGCAAAGTGTTCTTCTCAGCCTCATTTCTCAGGGGTGTAATCAAAGCCTAGACAGGCAGTGAGCTGGTGAGAGGAAGGGTGATCTAATGGCTTAGGACACTAGCCTAAGACTTAGGTGATTTGGGTTCAATTCCCTCCTCTGCCACAGACTTCCCGTGTGACCTTGGGCAAGTCCCATAGGCCCAGATCCTCCCAGGTATTTAAGCACCTAACTTCCATGGGTGATGGGAGCAGGTAAGTACATTAGATAGCTAGAGGCAGCGTGGTGTTTCTGAATGAGCAGGGGGTTGGCCGTGGAACCCAGGGACTTGCCTTGGGGCTGACCTCATTTGCAAGGGCTGCGTAGCGCTTGGAGCGAGCGCCGGAGCACATGGCCAGCATGGTGTCGCTGCAACTTGGAGGGGGGAAGGCTGCAGCAAAGCCAGAATTATCTAGGCCACCTCAACTCACCCGTCCTGTTAGTTAAAAGGGTAAAGGCAGTGGAAGGGGCTCGGAGGGAGGGAGGGGGGACCAGGCGACCTTTCAGGAGCTTGGGTGGGGGGCACACGCTTGGAGCGAGCGCCGGAGCACATGGCCAGCATGGTGTCGCTGCAACTTGGAGGGGGGAAGGCTGCAGCAAAGCCAGAATTATCTAGGCCACCTCAACTCACCCGTCCTGTTAGTTAAAAGGGTAAAGGCAGTGGAAGGGGCTCGGAGGGAGGGAGGGGGGACCAGGCGACCTTTCAGGAGCTTGGGTGGGGGGCACACGTATGAGTCATGTGGCCTGCTGGCTGGTGGGGGACGGGAGCCACATAGCCTCCCACCTCGCAGCTGAAGGGAGAGGGCCAAGCTCTGTGCTCCCTTCCCCTTCCTTGCCCGAGGGAGAGGGCCAGGCTAGCCTCCTTCCCGCTCAATGTTCCTGACAGCTGGAGGGAGGGAGCCGGACCAGCTCAATAGGAATCAGGGAAACTTCATGCAAAGAACAATCCTCACGCAGCCAAGCATGAAAGCCCTGCGTGTGCTCCCTGACCTACTGACAGGCAAGGCCAGGGCCACTCAGAACAGCAGCTCAGTGACCCACTGGACCCTAGAAGGGTGGGAAGAATCCAACAGGTTAAACTGCCCCAAACCCACCCCGGCCGCTGCCCCAAACCCACCCCCTTCAGAGCAAGGTTAGCCCAGGAACACGGTTAGCCCAGGGACTAAGCTGCCAGTTCCCCCTCTCCCTGCCTTTTCCTGGGCTGCTGCTCTTAGGTCACTGGTTTCCAAACGCCAGGTGGCGACCCGGTGCTGGGTGGTGGGATGCGGGGCGCTGGGTCTCAGTGCTGCAGGGGGATCAGGTGAGCAATGGGGGGCTAACGCGGTTCCCTGCCTGTCCTGGCACCGCAGACTGCGCTGCACCCCAGAAGCGACAGGCAGCAGGCTCGGCTCCTAGGTGTGTGGGGGGAGCACACAGGGTTCCCCTGCCCCGAGCACTAGCTCCGCACTTCTATTGGCTGGGAACCTGCCCCCGACTGCTTCTGGGGCGCAGCCTGGTCTGCGGTGCCAGGAGAGGCAGGAAGCTGCCTTAGCCTCCCCGCTGCACCGCTGCCCGGAGCCACTCGAGGTCAGCCCCTCTTGCCCCAGCCCTGAGCCCCCCATAGCTGGAGCCCCCTCCTGCACCCCAAAGCTCCCACCCTCAGCCCACACTCCCGTCAAATGAGGCTGGGTCACAGCCTCAATGATTTTCTTCAACGGGGTGGTGAGAAGAGAAGACTGAAACCCGCCGGTTTGGGAGCGGGAGCTGGCAGAGCGGTGGGCGGGGAACGGTGGCAGCTGACAAATGACCCACCAGGCCCTGGGAGATGCTGCTGAAAAGGGAGGGGTGATCTTCCCTGAGTGGACAGGATTTTAGCACCTAGGGCTAAGCCAATAACCCTCGGCCAGCCCAGCTGCCTGGGAACAAGGAGCCGCAGTGTGAGCCGGAGAGACAAAGAGACCAAACAGAAAGACGGGTACAGGCTGGCGGGGGGTGGGCAGAAGCCCCCGTGTGTGGCAATTACCCCGGCAGCGGGAAGCAGCGTCGTGCTGGCGGGCGGGCTGTGGCGAGCGCCACGCTTGGCCCACGGCTCTGAGAAGTAACATTTCTGGCTTGGTCTAAGCCTGCATCTCTGGGGGGGTCCGGGGCCGAAGCTGCTCGAGACGATGCTCTTTCCTCTCCCCACCTGCAGCCTGGCCGTCCAAACCTGGAGGGATTTGCACTGCTGGCAGGGGCAGGGCTCCCCCACCGGGGCCCCGCCCCCCCCGATCCCCT